GGAGGAATAGCTCTTCAGGGGTGAACTGAGCTTGGGTACCCTGTTCAGAGCCTAACTGAGTGTTGTGGTGTTGTTCAGAAGACATGATGTGTGGGCTGGATGATAGAAGGGATTATGTTGTTGATATAAGGTGTGTTTTCTGTGGACTGGAGTGGGTGGCAAATCTTTTTATGATCCTTCTTCCTTTATCCAACTCCAATTATACTGTTCTACAGTGGGTGGCAATTTTTTCTCTGGGTGGCAAATCCTTCCTGAGGATGTTTTCTTGGTTGTTTTTGTGATTTCCAGGTTGGTGAAGGAAAGTATTGGTTGGATACAGTACAGGGGTACTTGGGGGACTGGGATAGAGCAAGGACAATTGGGTGACCTATGAATACTGTCACGGGCGGGGTCTTATCCCCAAAGGGTAAGCAAGGTGACTGAGATGGGGCTGTAACCCAATACTTGTCTCGGGCTCGTAGAGCTTGAGGAGTATACAGAGGTTGACAAGGGACTGAGGGAACTGAGGGAACTGCAAGATGTCAGGTTGGATCTGACTGGACTGACAAGTTGAGAATGAGATTCAACAAGAGATTCATAGGTGGGGAACAACCTGTTTGGAGGGGGTTTATATCCACAGCAAAACAGGCTGAACTGCAAAACTACAACAATAAGCTACGGAAGAACTGCTAAACATATTTGCAATTCTCTTCAAGAGAATTGGCAATCCTGACATGTGAAACTAAGAACAATAGGCAAAGGACCCAGGGGTCCAGGGGTAACTGTTACAGGTTCATGGGTGCGACAAGGAACAATAGACAGAGGACACAGGAGTCCAGGGGTAAGTGTGTCAAGCATGTGAACACACAGGGGAACAATAGATTAAGGGCACAGGGGTTCAGGGGTAGGTGTTTCATGTGTGGGAGTGTAAGAGATGACAATAGGGATTGTTGATGGAGATCAAGAACAATAAACCTAAGCCAAAGGGGGTCAGGGGAAGTGTTCCAGATGTGTTTCAAGTGTGGGAACACAAGAAAAGACTATCTTATGTGGCAAGTAGGTGATGTATGACAGTCAGGATATGATGAACACAACAAATGCTTTAGCATTC